CAAACATGAATGGCTTCCATTTATTTTATGTTATACTGCACTAAATTTAAACATTTACAGTGTGGTTTTTAAGGAAGAAAGGGATTGATTAAAGAACGAAGTTTGAAATATATGAAAATGTTAAGTGTTTATGAGTATTACATATCAAGATACAATGAAGTGCAACCACTTACTCAATAAAATTTTTGCATTTTTTTTTATAGGTGATTTATTTTTAAATAATTAACTGTGTAAACATGAAGATATTAACATCCAACTCATGTTTAAAGAAACCCTTAAAATTATTTTTCTTCATCCACAGCTTTTTTCATGTCACCATTTCACTATGCATGCTCTTTCATACTTTCCACTAGCCTAACTTCACACACTTCTATGGCACTCTTTAAGGTAACTTTCTTTTTCACTCTATTCCAAGCAACTTCCATATCCACTTTTTATTCATAGTGTTGTGAGATTGATTTATCTTACAATACTTTTTCTTCCTGCAGTTGTTCTTGTTTAGATAGAATTTTTAATCCATGACTTGGTGAATAGTCATAACTTGGTGAATAGTCATAACTGTCTGTCCTATGACTGACCTGCATTTTTCAATTAATACTGGAAGAAAGACTGCTTAGACAGGCTAGGTCCTCTTATTTACTCTTGCGAGCTGTGAGATAACAAAGTTCTAGTTCTTAAACCATTATTTCTCTCTTTTGTTGTAGCAAACATTCAGTCCCAGCTAGATACTTAATCCTAGTCTTCCTTTGCTGATGCCTAAACTGAGCAATTCCCGGGGTAGAGGGAAAAAGAGAGATCTCAGAACTACAGAGCTTGCCCAGCAAAAGCAGCCATTTTGTGAGTTGAATTCTGAGACCATCCTTGTGACTGGGGCTCACCATGACACATGGAGTAAAGTCTTCTGGTACTGTAAGTAATTAATTGGGACAATTTAAATAAATATGATGCCATTTGTTTCAGCCCTAGTATCTCTTTACATCTTTCAATTTCAGTGTCCATTCTACAAATTCCACATTAGCAGGCAATACACGAATTTCAGAAAACATTACTTGATTCAGATATAATGCTAGGACACAATAGGTAGGTTCACAAATCAGGCTAAGGAAAAAACAAGCAATATTGGGTGAACACAAAACATATTAAATAACTGGAAGTGACCAATTAAGATTAGAATTATGGCATGTGGGGAAGCTTTGTAAAAATAAAAAGACCTTCCCAAATGCTGTAATTCCAAAACACAAAAAAACCTACTGGCAATTTCCCTGCCAAAGAAAATAGAACCTTTAAAACAAGTCTTATAGTGCGGACTTCCTATGGACATCTTTGGTTACTGTGAAAATTAAAACAAGGAAAACCTAGTTTAGGACAACCTTCAGTCTGATCCAACAGAGCTGCTCTTGTTTTATATTAGATATTGTATATACAGGAATCTAACTATTAGAAGCATATAGCTAGAACTCCAATAAACCAAATATGTGACAGCTGAAACACCATTCCATGCTATGTTTATAAAGCTCTTAGGAATATGCTACAAATCCTATCAAGCAAACCAAAGAGAATCCCTTGGACAAACAATCCCCACCCACCACTCACTCCTGTTCCATCCAATTGCTCTACGTGCAAAAACACACATCTGACACAAATGGTCCCACGGAAATAGAAAGCAACGTCTACATTTATGATGATCCCACTGGAGAAAAGGCCCATCTGTGCTGCTCTCACGGCATGAGAAATGGACAGAAAAACTGAACAGAGCAATTGGGTTATGCGACATATGGTCACACACAGCAATTATTTAAGATACACTAGGATAATTATTTCTATCACATGTTCCAGATGGACAGGCTGCCAATTCAACCATCATCCACATACAGCAGATCTTTGCAAGAGTTTAGCACTGATAATAAATGCAGCAAGTTGTGTGTGAATAATAATAGAAACTTCAAACAATTAGTGCTCATGTTCTGCAAGTTTTCTGCTTGTTTTTAAAAAATGTTTGCTGATTTGTGATGCCCTTGGGAAGATATAATTTAAGAATTAACTAAGGTAGAATAATTTAGGATGGCTGCATTTTGCCATCCTACTGGAGTCACTAGTGCCTGAGAAGCCAAGGAGACAGACAGACAGACAGATATTTGCCAAGTAAACAAACTCTCCCAATCAAAAACTAACCTTCAGGTTAATTTACACACTAGCCAAAGGAGAGGGAGTGATTTTTAAGATGCAAAAAGATGAAAAGATTCATAGAAGCATTTCAATTCTTAAATTCACTCCAATAGTCCCTTAACACTCTCCTTGGGTTAAAAAAAATGTGTACACACACAGTGTGGGGTTGCTCTGAAGGCAGAAAAAAAAGGACAGGGGAGGGTTTGCCTGGCTCCACTCACTCCAATGTGGCCCAATAGAGGCAGCCTGTAAAAGGAGGAGGGCTTAGCAGACAAAAGAAAACCGCAATTTTCTTTTGAAACATTGATTCCATATTATACCTTTTTCGTTATGTAGTTAGTTTTTAAGTCAGGGGGTCTCCCATACAATTTCATAACTTCCCTTATTTCAACCAGCATGTTTACCTTATGAATAGGTGGTTTATATGCTGACTGTTTATCAAGTGACCTGTTTTTTTTGCTATATTTTATCCTGGTGTATTATAAGCCTCAATTCATGGATCATCACCTAGTAATAGGGAGGGGGCTTCCACATCCTAGTGGCTCTGGGGTATATTTTTGAAACTGCACACTCTCAGAACACTGACCCAGAAATGGCCAGATCAGAGAGAAAGGATGAGACTAATCATGATTCAGTGGAAAAGGAAAAGGCAACTGAAAAAAACAAACAAATACAATCAGGACAACATTTGCATGACCACTGTAAGTGAATTCTTCAATCTGGAAAGTATTCAGTAAACTACTGAGTAAGGGCAGAGAACATATATGAATAATGTTGGCGTTTACGATATGACTGTATCCACAGACAAAAACAAAAAGTGCACACACACATATGCATTCCCCACATTCACGTGTGAAATATCAGAACCAAGCTTGGAACATTTGATATTATCAGAGAGAAATGTCACAGTGGAGTACAGCAGTGACTTTCTCAGACTGAAGTAAATAAAATGGATCGGAATTCATCTTTATACAACAGGCTCACCAAATCTTCTTCTGTGGACAGGAAATTCACAGAATAAATGGAGAAATTATCATTTTTAGCAAGAGTTCAAAAGTGCTTAGATAGATTCCCCCCAAAATGGCAGAATGATCTCGATCCAAGTTCAAGGTGAGATTTCCTATGTTACAATGATCCAAGTTTATGCCTGAAGCACAGATCTAGAGGAAGTTGATATTGAAAAGTTCCTACAGCACCCTGTTGGCCCACTTCACAAATTAAAACATGTCACAGTCATAATAGGCAATGTGTATATTAGAACATTAAAATAAAAAACCATTTAGAATCATGGAAACAAATGGATTTGGTATGTGAAACAGAGCAGATGATTGATTAATAGAATTCTCCCAAGATCATCTATTTGCAGCAAATACCTTCTTCTAATAAGCTGAAAGATTCAATTGCTGGACAGACAGTATCAAAAACACATTGACTATATACTTTGCAAAATAAAATATCATCTTAGCCAACAAAAACAAGACCTGACTGAGTTATAAATCAGGAACGTCTTATGAATTCCAATTTAGAAAGCAACAAAATAATCAGACCAACAAGATACAATCTCAGCAATATTTCATAAGGTAAGCAGTGCAGATAAATAAGAGATTTAATATTATTAGACTGAATAAGCAGAATGTTTGGAGATCCCTCTGGACCAAGATCTGTGATATCACTGAAGCTGAAATAAAAATATTCCAAGTTGTAAACAGCAAAAGAAAGAGAAATGGCTGTCTGATCTGTTGAAAATAAATGAGAAAAATGCAAGGCAAAAGAAATCAGCAATAGAAGAACATTTATCCAAATAAAAAGCAACTGTTTTCTCAGCCATAACATATGACTATGAAAGCTAGATATTAAGAAAGTGTGAACGAATTAAAATTAATGTGTTTTCCCCATGATACTGGGGGAAACTGTTGAGTACAATGAACAGCAAGAAGAAGTAATCATTCAATCTTGGATAATAAAAGTTAATGTTTAACTACTATGGGCATATTATGGAAGCATGAATATTTGGAGAAGACTCTGATGGTTGGAAACATAGCTGGAATGGAAAAGTTGTCAGCAGAACATAAAATGGCCAGATGCTTTTACAATAAAACAAGCATAAGCTTACAAAAACCCAAACAGTTATTCATTCACAGACAATTCTGGCAAATTGATGTCCATTAGGATGTGAAAAGATGGTAATGACTGAACTACTGAACAACAGCATCCTCTAAGTCAGGGATGTCAAACTCAATTTCATTGAGGGCCCGCATCAGCACTGCGGTTGCCCTCAGGGTGAGTGTGGCCAGGGTGGGTGCAGCCTACTGGGTGGGCGTGGATGGAGTAGGTGTGGCCTACTGGGTGGGTGTGGCCAGCTCTACATCGTTCGCGTCAAGGGTGCCTGTAGGGGTTTGGGCAGGAGTGGGACAGATCTGAGGGTCTCTGGCAGAAGGGGATGGGATAAGGGCAAGTGCCAAGGCATGGTCCACTGGAGAAGCCTCTCAGGTCATATGGGGGGGGGGCTTATGGAGCTAAGACTGAATGCGTTTCAACATAAATGGCCATCACAAAATTGTACATTGGCTCCCGGCTGGCCTGGGCCAGGGCCAAGGCAGAGGGGGGCGTTCCCTCACTGTTTCCAGGATGGCTTCATGGGCCACATGAAACCACTTCGCGGGCCGCATCCGGCCCCCTGGCCTTATGTTTGACATATCTGCTCTAAGTCATTTAGAGAAAATTGCCATTGGGCAATTTGATATTGGTATTAATAAAATGACATAAATAGAGAAATAAACAACTTTGCATTTCATGAGGACTAGATACAACTTGGGGGGGGGAAAGTTTCTTACGTGGCACAGCAACTCCATATTCCTGTGGATTTTCTGCCACTACTTTCTGCTTGAGTTCATTTAACCGAGATCCCAAAGAACCTGAGAGATCAGAAGAAGAAATGGGTGAATAGACAAAATACAAGGCATATGCAGAATAAGCCAACCACAAAAAGATATAGGCCAACATCTGATCAGCAGCTTTATCTATCTTGGTTCTGCCCTTAGAAGTGAATCAAATAAGATATTATGTGCGCTGTTAGCAATAGTCTTAAAAGTCTTTCTAATAACAAACTGCCATATCCAATAAGCTCAGGGCCTCTGGTATGATTCCTCTCCAGATCAGAGTGCAAAACTTCTATTTACCCTACTGGGCATTTCTAGTTTTCCAATGCACACAGCAGTGGAATGAAAGGTTAGCAGTCCTAAATCTATCATCTCCTCCTGTCCAATGACCCTCATTTAGATCCCCCCCCACAGCCCAAATCCATTTCAAATTTACTTTTTAAATAGCCATATAACTCAATGCTACTAGTTTGAAGGGCACTAAATGAAGCTTTTGCTCAAGCTTCATACCTTATTAGCTTTATTTTCCATCTTTCATTTTTCAAGCAACTGGCCTTCCTTCTCAATTTAAGTCAGAAGGGAAAGGCATCCAGCAGAGATTGTTTGGAAGCTGTGTACCAAAGGAGGCCAAGCTGGCAAGCCCAGCCTAACCTGCTGCTTTCCCATTCCAAGATAAGGAAATGGGTAGCATCCTACATCCTGCTCAGTGGAAAAATGCATAGTGGGAAAATGCTAAATTGCAGAAAGGAAGAAGGGTAAAATTCCTCATGCATGTTTATTTTACATATAAACCAGTTCTTCTCAACCCTGGAAAATTTAAGATGTGGCTGGTGGGAAATTCTGTCTTAAAGTTACCAAGATTCAGAAACACTGATATAAACAATTTTGAAGTATTTATTTTTGTTACATGTTTATCTTTTTTTTCCTTCAAGGAGGTGATAGTACTTTGCTCCATCCAACAACCAATTTTTAAAGTTTACAATTTCCAAGTTAGGAAGCAGAATCCCTGTTTGCAAAATGAACAGGAGGAACAGACTGATATCCCCATATCCTGATTTGAACTTCTCAGAGGTATCAGATGGGCCTTTGAGGAAATAGAATGCTGATTCTCATCCAGTATGAGTTTTATATTCTTAAAATCTGAAACCCTCAATGGAATACTATATACAATCTGCATATTCTACTCAATGTACCTTCAAAGAAGTATGCTTATCAGGCTAAGCCCAAGAATGACATAGGCAGAATCTTGACAGATTAAACTCTTACTACTCTCACCTAACAGATATTCCCAGGGAGATTCCAGGGAGCTGCTATGCTTACTCCCTTCCTGTCACCTATCCAGCTCAGGGCTATGCTGCCTTTTGTCTCCTCTTTCCCCTTTCTGGAACATGCTTTCTCCTTGATGGGAACTGCTGCTCCACTGAATTCCATCACACCAGCTCCCCTTCTGAAGGCACTATCTTTCACAATGTTATTCAAATCAAAGTTGCTCAGAACTAATTACAAGAGGCGTGATCCTCTGAATTATCAATTTTATATATAGTAGAATAAATGACTACTTAAATGGAAACTATTTGGATTGTGATGAAGATGGATCCAAAATCCAGTTTTCTTCCGACATGATCCTTGATACAAACTGCTAATCTCTACAGCATCCCATATCTTCAAAGATGAGGACTTCAGGGTGCATCTTTGAGTTCATCCAGTTTGAAAGTGTTGATTATTTATGTCAGTGTTTTTTGATCTTGGCAACTTTTAAGGCATGGGCTGGCTGGTGAATTCAGGGAGCTGAAGTTCCCTTGCCTTAAAGTTACCAAGGTTGAGAAACACTGATCTGCAGTATGTCAACAATCAATTCCCAGTAACAAAATGGTGCTCTTTTTACACAGAGCAACTCACCAATTAAAACCACAAGTCTCTTCCTTTCACCAGGCTGCTGTTGATACTTGATGACTTCCTCATATGTGAGAAGTTCTCGAGTGGAGTTTGGTTCACTTTGTTTGGCTTCATTTGGATCACTCTGCTTCTCCTTTCGGCTCAGTCGGAAACTTCTTCGCAAGCCAGCTAAAAGGCCAAAAGTAATACTTTTCTTTTCTGTGTTGTTCAAAGCGTGTGAAAACTTTAATCAACCCTCTTCAGTCTGCTGTTTGATTCTTTTCAAACTTCAAAAGATTATAGCCTCTCCTTCTTATTAAATTGTTACCAATCAAGTCTCAAAAAATAAAAAATGTCCATATATAAAACAGATAGTCCTCAACTAACAACTGATGGCTTAGCAACAATTTGAAGTATCTCCCCAAAAGATACTTATAATTGGTTCCAAAGTCCCAACACCACCACCTCCGCACACACACCACACACACACACGAGATCATTTCAGATGCTCAGACTTGGTCCACATTTATGGCTGTTCACAGCACCCCAGAGTCACTAGACCATGATTTATTATTTATATTGTTTTTGCTGAACAAATGATTCATTTAAAAGCTATAACCTTTGTTTAACAACTGCCATGAAAAAAATTCATAAAAATCAAGTCAGTCACATGATGACTCACTTTATGACTATTACAACTTACGGCCATAAAGGGTGGGCTCCATGAGGATCATAAGCTGAGAATAGCCTACAGTATTTGAATGTCAAAAATAAAACCAGGGAAGGAGGGAGGGAGGAAAGGAGTCAACAGCTGCCCATAACTAGAACTAAAATAAAGTACCAAGAAAGAACCTGGCTCCATTACTCATTCATTAAGTTCAGCCATTTTTCAATCATGTCCCTGACTGCAGCCATAGACATTTTTCTTTCTCCCATAGAAGTGGACAGCTATTATTCTCCTGTAATAAAAAACATTTTGAGAACAAAGTTTCAGAAGGATTCTTCCAGTCCTCTCTAGTCTACCACATTCCAATCTGGTGTAGGGCAACGTCATTAGTTATAAAGCAACTGTATACAAATGCACTAGGAGTGGAATTTATATAGGTTGCAGAACTGTTTGCAGAACAATTGAACTATAAGATAAGAGCCCTGGTGGCACAGTGGTTAGAATGCAGTACTGCAGGCTAATTCTGCTGACTCCCGGCTGCCAGCAGTTTGGCAGTTCAAGTCTCACTGGCTCAAGGTTGACTTAGTCTTCCATCCTTCCGAGGTCAGTAAAATGTGGACCCAGATTGTTGGGGGCAATATGCTGATTCGGTAAACTACTTAGAGAGGGCTGTAATAGCACTGTGAAGCAATATATGTCTAAATGTTATTTCTATATACCTTCCTATTTCTAGGGGAGAATCTAGAATATGTATTATTCATTACAAAGACTGGTACCCACCTATGTATTGTCCATTGAAGTAACCCTCACAGTCACAGTCTTCTGCATAGAAAGAAGAGTGAGAAAATAGGCACAAATATGTTATAAGTTGCAGGTCATGCATTCTGGAAATAAGAATGTCATACATATTTAAGCACTAACATCAAAACTGGTGGGAAATAAAGAGCAGAAGCTAGGCAAATTCAGTAAGTAAAGCAGTGTGCCTTGCATAGAGGGATTGACCCCAAGAATCCATAGGCAAACAATTCTGTTTGAAACTCTGGAGAAGTGTGGGCTGATGCCAGGCTATACCAGTCTAGTCTGGCAACCTTCAAATATCTCAGATGTCTTTAATTCTCAGCCAAACAATCCTGACAGGGAGTGATGGGAGTTATACATTTAAAGGCTCACTGGCTGAGCAAGACCAGTGCTTGCTTGATTGCTTTGTGTATTATTATTTTTTAAATGATATAACAAAAGTTGAAATTGTTTAATTGTGGCCAGTAATACTGAAAAAGATAGCTTACTGGGATAAGATAAATAAGATAGCTGTCTAGGGTTTCAAAGTAAGGAAAACATCTCATGAAGTTGATTTACCATAAATAGAGGAGTCCTTTTTAAGTAATTATAATTCAAGGGCAGAGTTCAAGATACAAGGTATGCAGACAACAAGCAGTGGATATACAGATCAGCAAACAAACAGTCTTTCGTGAGTCTTGAACATGCTTGAAAGTTATCCACAGAGAAATTTAAAAACATAGAAGTATGGCTGCATGTATCCACCACCACTCCCCCCCCCTTTTTTTTTTTTTTGCAAAAGTCACACAAGGAACACATGAAAAGTGGCAGGGTTTCAAATATGTTGTTGCAACTTGAGTTTTTGATCTCCCCCAACAGATGCTTCTTTATGGTTAAGAAAGAAGGCGTCCCCAAATTATTCATCTAATGTTAACACAGTGAAACCTGGATGAAGAGAGGGTTCTTCAATGGGGGCATGAAATAGTGAGTGCACATAAAAGTTCTACCTTTGAGAAATTATTATCTGGTACCCTTGTGTGCATGGTTCACTTTTGATAAATAAGTTTAGATTCTGAGTTTTTGGTCCCACTGAACTTAGGAGGGGGACCAAGTTTTAAACAGTTTTAGGATTGTGTGATTAGTCTTGATGAGAACTCAGTCCTTCATAATAATGTTTCTCAACCTTGGCAATCTTTAAGATGTCTTCAACTCCCAGCATGCTTTGATTTTAGCTCAATGCATATATAAAACCAGTAATTTGGGCTTATCACCATGACTTACAGTTATGTGTGATTTGTAGTATAAACCAAGCTGATCTGACTTATTCCACACACCGTACAATTAATCTTAAATGAGTATGACATGTGAAACCACCCAGTGGCTGTTTTAAGGTGACAAAATAAGTAGCACACTCAGCTGAAGAATTCAAATAGAACTAGCCAACTGTGTTACTGTTGTATACATCTTTTAATCAGCCTTCCTAACTGCTCAGATTAAATTCCCATCATCTCCTCCCAGTTCACAAATCTGGATTGCTCCAAGCCTGTTGCCCTTTCTTAATAAGTAAAAAACCTAGATGTTTCCTCAGGTATTTGGCCACATAGATGGCCCAGGCCTGACAATTAGTTTGTCTACTTTTAATCTTCATTGATGACTAAGAATGCTTTTTAAACTCTGGCATACACTATATTGGTCTGCTCGATATTTACTTTATACATTTCTCTTTTTTGCTTTTAGCCTTCTATGTACCACTGAGAGTGACTGTTTTGAGATAAATGGCCATATAAATTGTATAAACAATTATCTGGAAACTGCCATGTTAGAGATAGCTCCGCTAATCACTCTGGCCAAATAAGCAGCAAATGACCTCGGCCCCTTTAAACTAATATAAAAAGCACAATGTTTATCATTAGAAGGGAAGTGTTTTTCTTTATTTATTTCCCCCTTAACTGGATTGGATTCCTTATTTATCTATTTATGTAAAAGATTTATATGTCCTCCCATCTTAAGTAATTTTGAATGGCTCACAAAAATAAATCCAATAAGTAAAACAATAATAAAACAGTAAAAACAGTAAAACAATAAAATAAAAACACCATAGTTGTCCCTTTGGGATGGCCATTGCAGGCTCAGCTGCCCTCCTTCCATACTATCCGCCTACTACACAGTCCTCAGTAAAACATCAGGTCTCTATGTTCTTTCAGAAGGTTAGAAGGGTGGAGGTTGTCAAATCACCAATGAGAGGATATTCCACAAGGTAGGGGTAGCTATGGAAAAGTCATGCTTCCAGGGTTCCACTAGATGAATTCCACTTTAGCAACAGCTACACTAGGGGACTGTCCCAAGAGATAAATCAAGGCAATTAAGTTTAAACTCCTGCATTATTAATACTGTTATTAAGACTTTATTTATAAACTGAGCAGTTTTTCTTATTTGAGGCAACTTTTAAAAAAGGACTCCATCACCCCAGTAAATTTTTCTGGAAGTTGCAAGACCAAAGCAAAAGGAAAAGAGGGAAGGAAAAATAGCAACACATTGTGGATCAACAGGAAATTACCTGCTGTGTTAACAAAAGCTCCTAGAAACAGCACAATAGCTTTTTAAGAAACAGCAGGAGCTTAATCCGTATGATTAGCACATACAAAAAAATAAATTACACAGTAAAACACAGGGCAAATTAATAGCTAAGGAAAATTAAATGAGATTGATATGAGGCCCTGAGTGTATATGAGAAAAGTTTATTTGTCCCCTTTTATGAGGCTCTAAAAGACTGGTTTCCATTGCAGATAGAATATTCCAACTTTAATCCAAGGATTGAGAGGCAATTTGGTGTAGTTAATATATCAGTCTAATAATCAGAAAATCACGAGTTCTAGTCCTGCTTCAGGCTTCAAAATAAGCTGGATGGCTCGAGGTCAGTCACTTTCTCTCACTACCTAGGAATGAGGTAGTGGCAAACAACTTCTGAAAAACCTTGCCAAGAAAATGGCAGCGACTTGTCCAGGCAGTCTCTGAGGATTGGACAAGACTGAACAGAAGGGGGAGGAAAAAATTGCTAGTAACTTAGGCAAATGACTGTTCTCCTGGGCTGAAATGGGATGATCACTGGAAATTGAATTTTGAAGACAGTCAAGCAGGGATTGGATGTTGTACTCCACTCAGTGTCATGTGATGGGTGGCTATACAAATATGATAAATAAATAAGCATCTTAGCATTCTAATCTCAATATTCCAAAAATACATTCTGAATTCAGCTTCTCCTCTCCTTTCCTGCCCTTCAGTTTGCTCTTCCTCAATTCCCACTTACGTAAGTTAAGCACCAAGTAATCCATCCTTTATTTTAATCTTGAGGCAAGTTATCTATATTGTATGTTCTGAATATGCAGTTTATTTTACAGCAAGATAGTAAGGTAATATTTAAACATAATCACACTGAAATAATATATTTAGATTTATGAGCATGCCTTGTTTATTCACACCTTTTCCTGGCAAGGAGGAACAAAATGGGATCAGATATTATCTAATAAACCCCATTATTTGATGTTTATCACTAAATGAGCATTCACTGATTTTAAAAAATGCACACCGTACCCACAAAACAATATAATGAATGAAGCTTTCCCCCAAACCTCTATCTTTTTTCTTCAACAGAATGGTTTTAAATCCTCAGACTTCTCTCAAAATTCCCCCCAAAATTCCACATCCTTGCCACGGGGTAGGTGGTTCACTGTCTTGTCAAAGTATATTCAGATTACTTTTTTAAAAGCATCTTTAATGCAGAATCAATTATGGAAAATGATAAACGCACAACTGCACCATCTATCCAACTGAGAAATCTAAGTTCTCTGTATCAGCATCTTGATTTGCTTCCCTGCAGGATGGTTTGACAGGCAGAAATTGACCCTTGACAGCTTGACAGCTGATGCTTGGTGCTGTCACTCCAAAGTAGCTGGAGAACCTACCTTTCTCGGAAGACTGATCATCTGCGGTTAGCATGAAAGGACAGAGATGAGATTGTTAAAAGGAAGCCAAGAAAAATGTCTCAAGGGATTCTTTGTTCAGTCCAATTGCTTAAGTGTAAGGAAAGCATCCAATACATTGTCAAAAAATATATATGGGAATTTCAAAATACGGTGGAAATGCATGCAAACTGAAGGAACGCTTTTTCCATCTTTGATGAACATTTAATAAAGATAGAAAATATTGGAATAAAGTTTGTATTTTGATACAGAAGATTTCAAAAGTGAATGTAGAATTAAAAGCAAAAACCTTTCTTTTGGGCGTAATGGATAAATAATCGAGACATCTTATGGAACTTGTTTTTGCAGTACGATAACAGCAGTGAGATTTTTATGCACTTAAAGATGGAAGGATTTACAAATATTTACAAAGGAAGAATGGATGGTGAAACTAGGAGAATTGGGGGACATGTTAATTTGACAGCCTTGATGAAAGAAAAGGCTACGGCAAATTTTATTTATACTTGGAAACCATTTTTGGATTTTTTTGCGAGAAACTGAAAGAAATGAGAAGTTGATTTCAGGATTTGAGAATTAAAATTTTATGGAATTATGGAAATAACGTAGACAGATGTTAACCTTACAGTAAGTGTTTGATGTAGTTTTTTTTAACTTATATCTATACCAAAGAAAATCAGAAGTCATTCTTTTTGTTTTTTCTATTTTCTTTTTTTTCATTTTCACTTTTTTCTGAGTTTTTTCTTCTTTCAAATCTTTTCTTCTACTTCTTTTAATTTTGTATTTTTTTAAAAAAAATCAATACAATTATAAATATACATACATATATACATACCTACATATATTAAAAGGCAGGATTTTACCCTTCCTTTTGCCCCAATTTGAAGGGATAAGGGACAAACTCAGAGTTCAGTAAACAAAACCTGAATAAGTAGAGATTATCGTATTTTATAGGGACTTTTGTAAAACTACAAAACCGTGCCCCTACCCCTCACTAGTTGTGCAAGAAAATTTGTTATTGCTAACTTCCTTTTTTTTCTCTTTATAAGTATCAATTGACCATACCATAGTAAATGGGCCCCAGACAACTACTTGTTTTGATGCACATAAATACATAGAATCAATGACAGGAGCGAAGGGACCTTTACAAAACTAGTGCATGGGGCGGGGGTGATATTTTGACAGAAAACATCCATACAAAGATAGGATGTCCTTTTACTGACCATTTTCTTTTGCTATGCTTTGAGTATGCACTTCCTTCCATCAAATCAGGGCAAGTTCAAAGGACAACCCGGCTCCCTCCCACCCCTTCCTCCCTCCAAAAATGATCCACAGAGAACAGGGTAGAATTTTCATAGCAAATTTTCCCCTTTCTTTATGCCTCCTTATGGGCTTTGTGGTGATTGAGGATGGTCATCTTCTTTATTTTTGCTCGATTTTCTCATTAAAAGCTTTGTTTTCCTTGCAAGGAAAAAGATCTTCCTCTTATGGACTATTTCAGTGGGACTGATCTGACAATTACAGGAGAGAAGTGGGAGGGTAGCGATTTCCAATCTTGACAGTTTGTCTTCTGCATACTGTGGCTTTGATGGGGGAGGAAATTATGCTAGCCAGGGATAAGGAAAGTGGAGGTTTTGTGATAATATAATATAATAGAAGGAGGAAGGAGCGTTGGTATGTTTGCTGCCTTGAGTTATTTATAAAAATAATAAAAGCAGGATAAAAATAATATAAGTAAGGGCCCAAAAAAAGGAGATTGTTGACAGGAAGAATGTAAGCAGGGGCAGTCAGAATGAGCAAAGTTTGGGCTGTGTGTACCTTTTAGCTCTTTAAGGTAGTCCAGGCAAGGAGCAGAACAATGAATTCTATCTCTGTCTTTATAGTAAGGTTACAACCAGCAGAATCTTGCAAGACCTAATGTATTTCTCCCTTCCCCTCCTTTTATTCTCCAGAAAATTAGGAAGGGTCCCTTCTGAAATGCTCCCTATGCCTCCTCTCTTTCTGTGGGCTGAGATATCTTTTATAGTTGTCCCATCTATGGCTCTTCCTCCCATCTCCCAAGGCCATTCCTACATACCATAACAGCACCAGAACTGGAATCTGTGGTTGTCTTTTTTATCTTTTTAACCATTTTCCCTTCCACACCAGTGCTGCCAGCCTGGCCAATAGTAAAGGGGCTGGTGTTCTCTGAAGCAAGTGATCCCAGAATTATTTTAAAAAATTGAGGTAGAAAATGTGTGGGACTCTGTATTTCCCAAAGAGTTTTCCTTATTTTGATGGTGTGTTGCCAGAACTATTGATAAAGAAGATTTAATTGCAGATTATTGAATCTGTGATGCAAAAATTCAGAACCACTAGATGGCTGAAAAAAGATCAAGAAAATATTGCTCATCCTGATTTTGCATCCCAGACCCGAAAGCCCTAATCCTCTAATCAAAGCCACTAAAAGGAATATAATATTTAATTTATAATTTAATTACAATTAAAAATCTGCCAACCAATTAATTTTTTAGACTTTGTAATGGCTTAATTTATCTAATTGATTAACAGGTGAGACACTGTTAGATTTCTAGCAGTCTTAGTCTACAACCGCCAATATGGTTCTTGGCTGCAGAAAACTAATTGAAGAATGCTACCTATTTATTTTAATACTTTATGAGCAGACTGCTTTGCATAGGAGGTGAAGAACTATAATTTACAACTAATAGTGCGTATTTCAAAGTCTCCCTGATTTGCCTCTCTCTATCCTGGATTAGCTCCACTGAATGTAACTATCCCTATAAGGCTGGCTATCAACCTACAACATGAAATGTTTTCTTCCCCTAGAGCCGTCTTGTGTGCATTATTTCCAATTCTCTCAATTCTGGCACTGCTTATTGTCTATTCATGTGACACAGCAATGTCCTTGTGGACTGAAGATAGCTATCCATCGAAGGGGCAAAATTTACAAATAACAAGATAAATGCATCTTGAACAAACAAGGAAAAGGTTTGTAGTGACTCACAGTATGGCTTTGTAATACTTCTGGAATTGTGCAATGCACCAATGGTCCTTCTATACATTAAGCGTCTAAATAAAAAACAAAATTTATATTCAGAGATAGGGGAGTATGCAAGAAAACACTAAGAACTTCTAAACAACAACAGAAAAATAGCTTTCATCCAGACTCCACCGGAATATATGAGCTTAAGTCCTGAATTATAGATTGGCTGGTTCATCCATAAAGCTATGTCACTGAACAGCTACTGTGGTTTGGTCTGCACATAATGCTAACCCTTAATAGGTAGATTCACATATCATGCTAATTTAAGGACAAAGAAAGTAGATTTTGATTTAAGATAATTTGTACTATTCATTTAATCTCTTTTTAAAAAATAAATATTTATTTTGTGGAGGAAACACTGAATCCAAATTGTGTCCCTGAGCCTAACAGAGGGATTGCATTGGACTCCAAACATACTGGTTACTCTTTGCTCTAAAGCAGCTATTAGTTGCAAGCAAACCCTTTGGAAACAAAAAGCAAAGGAGAAGGAGTTTTGAAATAGACACAGGACGCTGTCCAGATGAGGCGCATGTGCACTGGCAGTTTAAGCTTGGTTTTTTCAGAAATCTAACACAAGATTTCATTCTGAAGTCCCACTGAACTAAGCTCAAGTAACTTAATAGGGCTCCACGCTAGTGTTATTTTTCTGTGCATAGGTGAAAAAGAAAAGTCTGAATTATGCAGACGTGTGCCTTCCTGCAAAAAAAGCCCAGAGAAGTAACAAATCAAGTGCATATTTTTCCATGCAGACTTCTTGACTTTTCTTCTTTGGGAAAAAGCAGGCAGTCAAGCTGCATCAAAATATTAAATGGTATCAACCCTACAGAAACTATTCGACATGTATGTCTATGAAGATTCTCAGTCATCCAGGTCATGGTTATCCCAAAGGTGCTTTTTTCAAAAGGGAACTGAACTTAAGTTTTTTTCCTTGAAGATGTTTTACTTCTCATACAAGAAGCTTCTTCAGTTTGACTGACTTCAGTTTTGAGGGGGAGAAAACACTTTTGGACATTCGGCATGAATGGTTGGACACATATGGCTCTTCAAGTCCTCCACCATCTTTGAAGACAGAGATATTCTCCAACCATTTTCAAAGACAGAATTTTTCCTCAACAGTGAAAAAAAGCATTGTGACTGAACACGCACCCCTGGAAGAATTATTTCCTGGGGCTTTAATTGAAGTCTTGGAAACCAAGAAGGCAGCAGATTACTGGACAGCTGGGCTATATAAATTTCACAAATAACTTGGAAAAGGATCCTTCAGAGCAGGCAGAAACATATACACAACACTTATTTGCAATTTTTAAAAGCAGAATAAGATACATTTGTTGGACTATGTACACACAACTGTTTCTAAATAGATTGCAAGCAAGGCAAGGTTTCTAATTGTACTCATTCAAGGTTTTTTTTTAAGGGATTGTACAATTGTTGGTTCTTCAGCCATTTTCTATGGCAGAGAAGGAATCTCTTGCTCTGCAAAGTGTTCAGTCTCCAAAGGAACTTTTCCAAATTATTCATGAAGTGCTGCACAAACCTACCAGACGGAGGACTGTACCTGAAAGGGCTATAGAGGATATTCACAAGGGACTTTTGTTTAACTTGTAACTAAATAAATACAAAAGGACCATACCTTACTCATGAAAACTTACTTGAAATACTTTTATCTGCATTTCCAACACAGATTATTTCTACTCAAACTGAGTATGAAATATTCAGGAAAATATACTGCTTGAAACTAGTTTAACTCTTCAGTCAGTTTTCTGATACTGTTTTGGGGGTCTAAAAGTGAGCTGGGTTTGGCTGACTCTACTAGTCTGAATTCAACTCACTGACAACTATCCTTGGTGCTGCTTTGTTTTCTGAACATTCAACCCATCTTCACAATCACTTTTAGAACAAAGACATATAGGTGGTCCTTGATTTATGATTGTGATTGAGCCAGAAATTATGGTTGTAAGTCATGGCAGTTGTCAAGTGGGTCATCACATGACCACACCCAATTTTATGCCTTTTTTTGCAGCAGTCATGAAGTGAACGCTATGGTCATTAAGCAAACAGGATGGTCATTTAGCAAATCCATTTTATCCAATGGACATTTTTTGCTGGAAACTAGAAGTAAAACACAGAAATCAACAACAACCAAAAAAACCCATCAAAAATCATTCTGTGACTGCGGGATGCTGCAAACTGCCATAAATGCAAACCAGTTGTCAAGTGCCCAAAATCTGATCATATGACGATGGGGGAGAGGTACAGCCATTGAAACTCTGGAACCAGGTCACAAAAACCTTTGAGGAAGGTGGATCATAATTTTGAATGGTCACTAAGCAACCAGTCATTAAGTGAGGACTAGCTGTAAGCAAGTCTGAAAAGACAGGTCACTATATAAGATTCAAGCTGGTCAGATCTAAGTAATACACTCATCCTGCATTTCATTGTTTAAGAAATCTGAGTGGGAGTTAAGGTGCAGGTGGCTATTCTTAATGGCTCATACAAAAGGAGGAGGGGAAGGAAGTATTGCTTCCTTTCTCCCCCCTTTTGGTAAACCTGTGTATGTGACTGTCTATAAAAAGGACAAAAATTTTAAAGAAATGTTTGCTACTGCCCCCACAAGTTTTATTACTACCAAGTTGCTGCAGGTGGAGGGGGGGGGGAGCCATTCAAAGATGAACATTCAAAGGAAATGCTGTGATTAATAGTGGAAGTCAGCCAGTTGGCAATATGCAGAACATTCATTTCTATTACCATTGATCTGTTCCCTCCTTAATAACGAAAATCAATTTTTAAGAAAAGAAAAATTCCAAGTGACAAGTTGCATTTTGCTTTTCAGAGAAGATAAAATTGCTTGTTAGTCCATTGCAGTTGCAGAGAGTTAAGATGGGAGGAAAGTTGATCGCATTAAAAGAAGTGTTAAATTTGCCATTTGAAAGCTTAAACTCAAAAAAACTGCAGCTATGTTTTATGCTGAGTGAAGCATAAAATATTGTTTTATATTTTTTTTCAAGAAGTTTCAGTGATACAATTCATAATTTTGGTCATTTCCAATAAACTCTAAAATACCACTTTCCCCTGCAGTAATTTTCCTAAGCCTTGTGGTACATTTGACAAGCTCTTTCCCCCGTTGTACCACAATGAAGTATTAGCATGTCTAATCCAGAGTAATCTCTGCCTCAATGGCCTCAAAGATGCCACACAAGGACCAGGGAGATGGTCAAAATATTTCATGTTGAGCCATTACAAACCATAGTCAGTTACATCACCTCAGCATGGCTACTTTCTCCTCAAATCTAGAAACCAAAAATTATTTAAAGTTTGTTAGAAATGCTAGTCTGCAATCAAACATTGTTTTATGCCAGAGCTGGCCCAAAATATATTGTGGCTTAGGCTAAGAAGCCATCTGCCCTCTAAGTTCTGAGTATAGAAAACAGGATGGCAGTTGAATATTACTTCAACTCTGATCAACAACCTAAATAGACAGTCCAGGATACATAATTATCCTCAAAGAAGGAGAAATGGTTGGAAAGTTTAGAAGAAAAAGTTTAAAACTGCCCTACTTTTTGTCATCACCACTCTGCCTAAAAATAAAGTCAACTATGGATTGTGCAAATCCTTAATTGCTACATTGGGAAGAAAATAAAAACTACAGCTAGCAGCTGCAAGAAATGCAAATTCCTTGCTTCCTTTTTATCCCCTAAAGAAGGAAGAATGTACAAGTCCAACAAAATTCATAAGGTGCCCTCATAAAAAGTAAACATGATCTGCTCTACTTCAAACTGAGACACAGCTTTGTTCACTGTATTAGTAACTCAGGCCATTGCTCTTCCCAACTCACCTTTCTTGGAACTGCTTAGAAGGAATCAGCCCTGCTCGAAGATTTGTGTCACCCACACGTTTGGCCTGCCACCATGTTGGGTCATCTTGGCTAACCACTTCCAAGATGTGCCTTCTCTGAAAAGGCAGCCCTGCCTCCTGACATGGGATAGCTTTATCCTCTTTTGGATTGTAGGAAAAAAGGGCTCTCATGAACACCTAACAGATGAAAGAAAGATCATGGTGACCATGATTACAGTTTTCCTAGAATTTTATGCAGATGGAAAAATGCTTCAGAAATTTATATGGATTGCTTTCCAAACTCATGGCATGGAGAACTTTAGGGATAGGAAAACAAATCCACAAATACAAGGATGAAAAAAAAATGATATTCAAAGTGGAGTAGAATAAAAGATATATATGCAAATATGACTAAGACAAACTGTTCCTTCCTCAATCACCACCCCCATTCACAGATTTATGTAGATAGTTCAGTAATTTTGACTAGATCTGGAGAACAGCTTCATCCTGTCTCTCTAATCTCCACTCTGTTACACTTTTTAGAAAAACAAGATTTGAGTGGTGGCAGACTGAAAAAAAATCCTATCACCTATAAAACCAATTAGCTAGCTAATTTATTACTAGCTTTATTCCAGGCCCATTCTTGAAAAAGATGGAGGGGGGAATAAATGGTAGCTCGTGTTCTGCTGGTATAGATGGATGGATGGATGGAGGGAGGGAGGGAGGGAGAGAGAGAGAAAGAGAGAGAGAGAGAGATGATAGATAGATAGATAGATAGATAGATAGATAGATAGATAGATAGATAGATAGATAGATAGATATACTGCCATTGCTGTTGTCACTTTTTAAACTCTAAGAAGAAAGAGAAAAAAGGGGAAGAAAAAACTGTCACTGCCACTATAGTTAACACCTCCTCACAACACTTCGATTCCTCCCAGAGTCCAAAAATCATTTGAATTGCCTCAAGTTCCTACTCAATCCAAATTGTGCCATTTCCACTGCATTTTTTAAATTTGTACTGGAAGGGAAAATTAGTTTCAAAACAGTTAGATTACCATGCTGTATTCATGCAAAATGCAGTCCCCAGGGCATTAAAACTAAATAACAGAATAACAGAGTTGGAAGGGACCTTGGAGGCCTTCTAGTCCACCCCCCTGTTCAGGCAGGAGACCGTATACCATTTCAGACAACCTCCAATGCTGAAGCACTCACAACTTCTGGAGGCAACTATTTGAACCAAATTGTTTAGAGTACTGTAAAACGCACCTCTAGTCTGAAAACACAAGAATTTTCCCCAGAGAGGAGGCAGATCTCAGTATGTTTAGCAAGTTGGGAATACTGTTCAATTAAGTATTATTATTATTATTATTTTTAAAATGTATAAGCCGCCCCACTCCCAAAGGACTCTGGGCGGCTAACAATAAAAAAACACATAAAACATAACAAACAACAATACAAAAACAATCATCCAGGGGTAAGGTTTTATAAACCCCAGGCCTGCCGGAAAAGCCAGGTCTTAAGTAGCTTACGGAAGACCAACAGGGTGGGAGCGGTCCTAATCTCCGGGGGGAGCTGATTCCAAAGCGTGGGCGCCATCACAGAGAAGGCCCTCCTCCGCGGCCCCGCCAAATGGCACTGCTTGGCCGACGGGGCCCGAAGGAGGCCCAGCCTGTGGGATCTAACCGGACGTAGGGAACTATGAGGTAGTAGGCGGTCTCGCAAATAGCCTGGCCCTGAGCCATATAGGGCTTTAAAGGTAATGACCAACACCTTTAAAGGTAATGACCAATAGGCAACCAGTGCAGCTCACGGAGGATAGGTGTAACGTGGGTGTATCGGGGAGCACCCACTATCACTCGCGCAGCTGCATTCTGGACCAATTGATGTTCCAAATTCAGCTGTGGATCAAGGAGGACACCCAAGTTGCGAACCTGCTCTGAAGGGGGTATATTTTCCCCCACAAGAGTCAACACTGGACAGTCGACATGATCCTTGGGAGGCAACATCCAAAGCCACTCGGTCTTGTCAGGATTGAGCCTGAGTCTGTTAACCCCCATCCAGATCCTCACGGCTTCGAGGCAACGGCCCATCACATCGGCCGCTTCACTGAGAGAGCTCGGGGAGGAGATATATAACTGGGTATCATCAGCATACTGATGAAATCTCACCCCGTGCTGTCTGATGATCTCACCCAGCGGCTTCATATAAATGTTAAATAGGAGGGGAGAGAGGACCGACCCCTGTGGCACGCCGCATTCAAGGGGCCTCGGGGTTGACCTCTGCCCTCCCACCAATACCGATTGCGACCGGCCAGAGAGGTAGGAGGAGAACCACCGTAAAACGGTGCCTCCCACTCCCACCCCTTCGAGTCGTCGCAAAAGGATACCATGATCGATGATATCGAAGGCCACTGAGAGGTCAAGTAGCACCAAGACAGAGGAATAACCTCTGTCTCGGGCCCGCCAGAGATCATCCATCAGCACGACCAAACCGGTTTCTGTGCTGAAGCCGGGCCTGAAGCCAGATTGAAAAGGGTCTAGATAATCCGCTTCATCCAGAGACCGTCGGAGCTGGAGCGCCACCACTCTCTCTACAACCTTCCCCACAAAGGGGAGATTGGAGACTGGACGGAAGTTATTTAAATCAGCCGGGTCCAGGGTAGGCTTCTTGAGCAGGGGCCTCACAACCGCCTCCTTTAGGGATTGTGGAAAAGACCCCTCCATCAACGAAGCGTTGATCAACACCTGGAGCCAGCTTCGTGTCACCTCCTTGGCAGCCGAGACCAACCAGGAAGGACACGGGTCCAATAAACAAGTGGAGGCGCTCATTGCTTCCACCGCTCTGTCAACATCCTCAGCGGTCACAGACTCAAATTCATCCCATAAAACTGAGCTAAGACCTGCCCCAGTCATCTCGAAAGGCCCTGCCCAATCGGAGTCTAGGTCTGTCCGAATCCGAGCGATTTTGTCTGATAAGAATTGCACAAATTCCTCCGCTCTAGTATGAACATGCAAATGATTCCTGCTCCACCTTCAAAGATATTTTACTAAAGCAAGTTTTTTTTTCAAACTTAGCATCTTTAAGATTTGTGGAATTTTAAGATTTTATGAATTGATTGTGATTAATGATTGTGATTAATGAATAACAGGCAAGTTTGGCCTTGGAGTACAAAATGAAGCAGGGCACAGGCTAATAGAATTTTGTCAAGAGAATACGATGGTCATAACAAACACTCTTTTCCAACAACCCAAGAGACGGCTCTACACATGGACATCACCAGACGGTCAACATAGAAATCAGATTGACTATGTGCTCTGCAGCCAAAGATGGAGAAGCTCTATACAGTCAGTAAAAACAAGACCAGGAGCTGACTGTGGCTCAGATCATGAGCTTCTCGTTGCAAAATTTAGGCTTAAATTGAAAAAAGTAGGGAAAAGCACTAGGCCACTCAGGTATGAACTAAATCATATTCCTGATGAATATACAGTAGAGGTGACAAATAGATTTAAGGAATTAGATCTGATAGACAGAGTGCCTGAAGAACTATGGATGGAAGTTCGCAACATTGTACAAGAGGTAGCAACTAAAACCATCCCAAAGAAAAAGAAATGCAAGAAAGCAAAATGGCTGTCTGAGGAAGCTTTGCAAATAGCTGAGGAAAGAAGGGAAGCGAAAGGCAAAGGAGAAAGAGAAAGATACACCCAATTGAATGCAGAATTCCAGAGAATAGCTAGAAGAGATAAGAATGCCTTCTTAAATGAACAGTGCAAAGAAATAGAAGAAAACAACAGAAGAGGGAGAACCAGAGATCTCTTCAAGAAAATTGGAGATATGAAGGGAACGTTTCATGCAAAGATGGGCATGATAAAGGACCAAAATGGCAGGGACCTAACAGAGGCAGAAGAGATTAAGAAGAGATGGCAAAACTACACAGAAGAACTATACAAGAATGGGCTTAACGTCCCAGATAACCACAATGAGATGGTCACTGACCTCGAACCAGACATCCTAGAATGTGAAGTGAAATGGGCCTTAGAAAATCTGAGCAACAACAAAGCTAGTGGAGGTGACAGTATTCCAGCTAAGCTATTCAAAATCTTAAAAGACAATGCAGTAAAAGTGCTACACTCAATTTGCCAGCAAATTTGGAAAACTCAACAGTGGCCACAGGATTGGAAAAGGTCAGTTTACATTCCAATTCCAAAGAAAGGCAATGCCAAAGAATGTTCAAACTATCGCACCATTGCACTCATTTCACATGCTAGTAAAGTTATGCTTAAAATCCTACAAGCTAGACTCCAGCAGTATGTGGATCGAGAACTACCAGAAGTACAGGCAGGATTTTGAAGAGGCAGAGGAACTAGAGATCAAATTGCCAACATACGCTGGATCATGAAGAAAGCTAGGGAGTTCCAGAAAAACATCTACTTCTGCTTCATTGACTATGCTAAAGCCTTTGATTGTGTGGATCATAACAAATTGTGGCAAGTTCTTAAAGAGATGGGAATACTAGACCATCTTATTTGTCTCTTGAGAAACCTATATGCGGGTCAAGAAGCAACAGTGAGAACTGGACATGGAACCACTGATTGGTTCAAAATTGGAAAAGGAGTCCGGCAAGGCTGTATACTGTCGCCCTGCCTATTTAACTTATATGCAGAACACATCATGAGAAAGGCAGGGCTAGGTATATGAAAAATAATGTTAGACAAATTATTAACTTATTAGAATATTTAGATAAAAACAACCAAGTCTCTGCAGGGCTGATATTTTTGGATGCCGAAAAAGCCTTTGATCAATTGAATTGGCAGTTTATGTTAAGTTTAATTAAGGAGATGAATTTTGGTCAAAACATATTACAAGCTTTATCCAATATATATCAAAAACAGACTGCTCAACCTATTGTTAATGGGGGCTTGTCAGAGGTTTTCACAATAGAAAAAGGTACAAGACAGGGATGTCCATTATCTCCGTTACTGTTTGTTTTAACATTGGAAATTTTGCTGATTAAAATTCGGGAATCGCAAGAAATAAAAGGAATAGAAATCAACAAAAAAGAATATAAGTTAAGAGCTTTTGCAGATGACTTGGTTGTTACTTTGTCTCAACCTACTTACTCGGTAGTAAAATTATTACAATTGATTCATCAATATGGGTGTGTTTCGGGTTTTAAAATTAATAATAATAAGACTAAAATATTACCTAAAAATATGACTAATTGTGACAAACAGACTTTGGTCAAATTAACAGATTTTGAAGTTGTTGATAAGGTAAAATATTTGGGGGTTATATTATCTGCTTCTAATGTAAAATTGTACAAAAATAACTATGAAAAGTTGTGGATTGGGGTACAGAAGGATTTAAAGAATTGGGATAACTTAACAGTTATCTCTTATGGGTAGAATTGCAGTTATCAAAATGAATGTTCTACCCAAATTTCTTTTTTTGTTTCAAATGTTACCTATCTTAAAGAATGAACTTAACTTAAATGAATGGCAGAAAGGTATTAACAAATTTATTTGGGCAGGGAAAAAACCAAGGGTAAAACTTAAAATTATGTAAGATTTCCGTGAGAGAGGTGGACTCAAGGTACCAAATTTGAAATTATATTATGATGCTGTGGTTTTAACACTGATTAGTGATTGGGTGAATTTAACAAATGTAGAAATACTCCATTTGGAGGGTTGGGATTTACTTTCTGGATGGCATGCCTATTTAATTTTTAATAAAAAAGTGGATCGGGTTTTTAAATCTCATATTATAAGGACTTCTTTGCTTAGGGTATGGAGGAAATATTATAAAAGTGACTTTAGAATACCATTATGGGCTATACCTTGGCATGCGATAGAGGGGATAAAGAGAGGAGTTAAGATGGATACGGTTTCCTATATACAACTACTTAGATGGGATGGTCAAAATTGGCAGTTAAAATCTTTGGAAGATCTAATACATGAAAATATTACTTATTCATGGTTTCAATATAGACAAATAGTGGAGAGATGGAAGATGGATCGTAATATGGGTTGGCTTAGAGAAGATGAAAATCTTTTTAAACAAGTAAGGGATCAAAGACCAACTCATATTAAGAGGGTTTATGGGGTTTTAGTGGAAATGGATTCAGAATCTGAATTAATCAAAGATTGTATGATTAAATGGGCACAAAATATTGGTGAACCAATCCCACTGGATACTTGGGAACTTATATGGGTGAGGAATGTTAAATTCACACAAGCGCAGAATTTAAGAGAGAATTTTTATAAAATGTTTTATAGATGGCACCTTGATCCACAAAAATTGTCTATTATGTACCCTGATCTACAGCCTAAATGTTGGAGATGTGGTTGTTTGGATGCTACCTATTATCATATTTGGTGGTCGTGTAAAAATATAAAAGCTTTCTGGATTAAGATATGGTGGAATATTCAAAGAATTTTTAGAAGGAGGGTAAAATTTACCCCGCAATTATTTTTATTAGGTATTGTTACGGATTGTGATGCTAAGGAAGTTATATTGATGTTAAATTTGATCACAGCCGCAAGGCTGCTAGTAGGACAATATTGGAAGAAGGAATCTTTGCCTACCCTACAAGAGTGGTTTTATAAAGTTTCTTATTTGGCGGAAATGGCAAAGATTTCGGCTTTCTTAAAGGAGCAATCTCAAGAGAAATTTTTTGTTGTATGGGAAAAATGGATAAATTTTATACAATATAATTTGGATATGGAAAAATATCATTTAGCTTTTTTATAAATTGTATAAAATTTTTTTGATATTTTACAGATTGTTTTTTTTTCTTTCTTTTCCCGTCTTTTGTTTTCTTCTCTCTTTTTTCTTTCTCTTCTTTTTTATCCCTTTTTCTTTTTCTTTTTCTTTCTCTCTCTCTTTCCTCTCTTTTTTTTCTTTCTTTTTTAAGTATTTTTTTTAATGCTTATGTTATATATATTTTATTATTAATTATTTTATAAGTTGTAAAAATTTGTTTAGGTTTTCTTAAAATTTTAAATAAGCCTGTATCCAGTTCTGGGAAGTTCGGGGAGGGGGGAGGGAGGGGGGGCTTGGGAGGGATGGGTGAGGGTTGGCTGTTTATTTGTAAAACTTTTAAAAAATTTTCAATAATAAAAAAAGAGAAAGGCAGGGCTAGATGAAACAAAAGTTGGAATTAAGATTGCCGGGAGAAATATCAACAACCTAAGATATGCAGATGATACCACTCTAATGGCAGAAAGTGAAGAGGAACTAAAGAGCCTCTTGATGCGGGTGAAGAAGGAGAGTGCAAAAGTTGGCTTGAAACTCAACATTAAGAAAACCAAAATCATGGCATCCGGCCCTCTCAATTCCTGGCAAATAGATGGGGAAGAAATGGAGGTAGTGACAGATTTTATTTTTCTGGGCTCCAAGATCACCTCAGATGGGGACTGCAGCCAAGAAATTAAAAGACGCTTGCTCCTGGGGAGGAAAGCTATGGCAAATCTAGACAGCATACTAAAAAGCAGAGACATCACCCTGCCAACAAAAGTGCGTATAGTCCAGGCCATGGTTTTCCCAGTTGCAATGTATGGCTGTGAAAGTTGGACCATAAGAAAGGCTGAGCGCCAAAGAATTGAGGCCTTTGAACTATGGTGCTGGAGAAGACTCCTGCGAGTCCCTTGGACTGCAAGGCGTTCAAACCGGTCAGTCCTAGAAGAGATCAACCCCAATTGCTCTTTAGAAGGCCAGATCCTGAAGTTGAAACTCAAATACTTTGGCCACCTAATGAGAAGGAAGGACTCACTGGAGAAGGGCCTAATGCTGGGAAAGATTGAGGGCAATAGAAGAAGGGGACGACAGAGAATGAGATGGCTGGATGGAGTCACTGAAGCAGTAGGTGTGAACTGAAATGGACTCCAGAAGATGGTAGAGGACAGGAAGATCTGGAGGAACGTTGTCTATGGGGTCGCGATGGGTCGGACACAACTTCGCAATTAACAACAACAACAACAACAATGATTTTGTAATTGTAAGATTTGTGAATTTCCCAGAATTTTTCAGGCAGCATGCTGGGAATTGAAGTCCACACATATTAAAGTTGGCAAGTTTGAAAAACACTGAACTAAAGGTTCCAGGGTAGCCTAATCTGCCATTCCTAAGATGGGCACACCTACACCGAATATATTTGATAACCCCCACAATTCCCTGCCAACTTGGACAAAAGCTATGGAGGCTAAGAAGTCTAAGAGTTGCAGTTTCCATACACATGGGAAATACCAGGCTACCCAATCCCTTTAAACATGCTTAGTACAGGAACACATGTTTAGAATATCTACTGTAGGTAAGATTATAATGTTTTCATATGTTAACAGACTCTCTTACCTTGCTATCCTTCAGACGATCTTCTTCTTTGATGCCTGGAATAATTTTTAGTGTTATTGATCCCTGGGATTGAACCTGCAAGAAAAACAACTCTGTATTTCTGTCTTTACGAAATCACATTACATCTGCAAAAACCATTGAAATTTACAGTACCTGTCTCTTGATGCACAGTATTCCAGGCATCAATTGCACACTGAGTGAGACCAAATAGCTTAATAAACATTTAGTCCTATTGGTATTGGTTCTCCAAAGTAGTTTTTCTTTTCCAGCCCTACCTAGAAATTCTGGGGACTACATCTAGGACACTGCATGCAAATTAACTTTCTCAACCCCAGAAAGTTTAATATATATTTGGATTTCTAAAACTCTTTTGGCTTTGTACAGTGACTAGACCAACCTGGAGGAGGTTAAAAACATTCCTCTGGATGGATGTCTTTTCTAAGCAGCAAAAGACTTAAACAAAACAAACTGAATGCCCTCAGTTGCTACTTACAGACATTGCTCTTAAGCAAGAAGTGGAATGACAAAAATAAATCAAAGTTTTAGATCCAACATGATTAGTTCAGCTTCCAGACTAATTATGAGGTATATTGGGCCACATAACTCAACTCTGTTCTGAAGATTAGTAGTAAAATGAAACCCTTAATTCCCCCAATGTTCTTAGAAAAAAGAAATTTACTAATTTATTTTCTTACAGCAACTATTTATATACTCCACTCTTTGTCTGGAAAGGTTCCAGAGATCAGTAAGAAGATATCATCCTTTCCCTGATGTTTTTAATCTAAAATGCATGGAACCAATGGAAAGTTGGCTGGAGAGGGGAAAAACAGGTTTTGTTTAAATTTTTACCAATTTGAGGAGATCTTTTAATTTAGGAACTTCAAAAACTAATCTTTACCAATTCAATAATATAATTTGATTTGGTTTCAAATTATTTTCTGCTCTTAAAGTTTGCCACAACGAACATTATGAATACATTTGGATCTTCTCTTTTTTTTTTTGTCTTCTTCTGCCTAATATAAATCTCAAGCATTGGCAATTTTTCTCTACAATTTGTAGCCTGCAATTCTCTTCTTTTTGTAAAACAGAGCTTTTACATATAAAAGGTCCGAGATTCAATACCCAGCATACATAGGCAGGGCTGGTAAAGATTCTTTTCTTGGAGAAAAAAAAACTGCAATCAAGTCAATGTGTGGCAGTCTTAATGCAATGGTTACCTACATAATTCTGCATAATGTAAACTTTAGACTGTAGAAAACAGAAATTGAAAAATCTTAATATTTTTGCTTGAATAAAACTGCACCCCTATGGTTACCTGGAAGAAATCAAATTGAATGTTCTGGGACTTATCTCTGAATAAACACATTTATGATTATACCGCATTGCACATTTTCAGCACACACGTGTGCTGATGCATTAGGGTAAACAACATAATGGACCACTAGTAGACGATCAAGTATGTCCTTGGTCAAGCAAAGAGTGTTTGATATTGACTGGGCCATTATTTATTAGATTTTTTTTATTAACTTAAGGCAGTGTACATACTTCATGTTCCTGCTTCCTATTTTCCCCACAACAACCCTGTGAGGTGGGTTGAACTGAAAGCCAGTGACTGGCACAGTCACCCAGCCACTCTAGGGATGACTAGAGCTCTCCCAGTTTTTAACCCAGCACTTAGCCACTAGACCAGGGGTAGGCAACCTTGGCTCTTTTATGACTCGTGGACTTCAACTCCCAGAATTCCTGAGCCAGCATGGCTCACCTTGGAAACCTTTCCCTTTCCTCTCAGCATGGCTGGATCAGGAATTCTGGGAGTTGAAGTCCACGAGTCATAAAAGAGCTAAGGTTGCCTACCCCTGCACTAGACCAAATTGACTTTAATCCGTCACTACTTTCTACTTGAAGGAAAAAAATAAAGCGACAATTTTCTAATCTGGGTTGAAAAGAGACTACGTTTGCAGAGAAACCCAAATTAGAGGTCAGCTATTCTTTGAATCGCCCTGCACGTAAGCAGCAGGAAATGTGTACATGATTTCTATGAAGCTTCTTTTCCATGAATGGATTACATGGCTGGTTAGAAAATTCAGTTTTTAGTCTAAAACACTGTCCTGAATGAAACAATCTAGCTTTCTCACCAGTACTAAAACATAGTGTTCACAAGATAGGCAAACCCTCTTTTTAACCCACTAAATATATCCTGGGAAGACAGCCTTTTTTTGTCTTAATGATATTAAAAACCTGACAGAGCAATCACAGAGGGGCAGCAATTATTCAGCAAGGTTTTTTTTTCCAATCATAATGTGATCACAACCTGCAAATATGAACAGAAAATATGCAAATTAATCCCATGGGATTTGCATTATTTATCCATGTCTTATAAATACACTTTTCGGAACATTAGTGAATAATCATTTTTCCCTTGTTCTCTTATGCTGGGGCATTTTGGAAGAAACTGAATTCCTGCTTATTAGAAGAATCATACCTGCCTTGTCTACTGCAAATCCTGTATCAAGTAGAAAATGAGAATTTGTGCCATCCAAAGTGCCATTCAGCTATGTCTGAGCTCACACATATGTTAAATAAGCTCCATTTGTATAATATTTATGGAAAGCTTGGTTAACCTTGCTTAGTTTTGAGGAAAGGACTGGCTCAGCATATAGTATAAATTACTGTAAACCCTTTGGATTAGTTTATAATTCAACAGTTCAATATGCTGCACAAAATATTGTGCAAGCCCAGACAATCTAGTATCCTACATTATTGTTGTTGTTGTTATGGTTCATTGCACGGTCAACCAGATGTTCAGACTGAATTTGGCATTTTTTTATCTACCTATCAAATCCTTTCCAAGGACCTGGGATATACAGATGGAGATGTTTTATGGTATTACAGATATCGTCACAGGATGTAAGCTGTTGTGAGTAAAGTTGCCTTTTGCAACTGACTGATGGTAAATGTCAATAGTGTTCAACTGGTGCTTGAATAGTTTTGGGATTACACCCAAGGCATCTATTACTGTTGGTACTACTTTTGCTTTCTTGTTAGATTTTTATTTTACCTTTTTAATATATGGCAATGAACTTAATGAATATACAGTCTTTGACTTACAGTTCCTGACTTATGCTTGGCAACCATTTGAAGTTATGGCAGATACTAAAAAGGGTAGTTTCAACCCAGATGCAAAGTTCCAGTGTCTGCCCCCCCCCCCAGGCACAAGGTCACATTTTGGGCAACTGAACACCTTTGCAGTGATTTCCCACATCCCACAGTCATATAATTACAATGTATGATTGTTTTGCTGGAAACCAACATTTATTTCTAATTTCCAGAAGAAAAAAAAAGTCCATTGCAGACAATGGGGTTTGCTTCATGATAATGGATTTGCTTAATGACTATGGGGATTCACTTAACAACCACTGCAAAAAAATATGTCATAAAATCAGGTTGGTCATATGATGACCATGACCAACATGATTTATGACTATAAGCCCGTGTCAACCACCCTGTGTGATGTGGTGAGCTAAGCTGTGAATGAGTGACTAGCCCAAAGTCACCCAGCTGGCTTTCATGCCTAAGGTGAGACTAGAACTCAGAGTCTCCAATTATAGTTCGTTATTTATGGGTTGCCTTTAATTGTACATTGTGTGCGGGATCACATGTTGAGCAAGATACATACACAGTGAATTAATACTTAAGGTATTAAAATGGGTAACTGAATAATACGGTTGAACATGTTACATGAATCTAAAGATTTCAGGTTAGAGTCATTCTAATTTGTCTATTCTAAAAGGAAATAACACCGTTTCACACACTGTTTTTCTCCTGTTTGGCTATAAAAAAAATGTCCAAATGAAAGTGAATCCTGTAATGCTAAACAGACAGACGCTTTCACAGGCAGCAAAAGACCGTTTCTTTGTAGTCCCAAAACTCTCAACGACAAAGCTTAAATTTTTTTCCAGCAACTGCATTGTAAATCTTGACAGATCTGGATTCCTCTGTTGCATAAGCTTCTACATTCAAGGCAGGAGAATGGGGACAACATCTCCTCTTCCTTATGAATGACTGGTATTCATTACCTACAATGTTTGTCACATAGATGGGCTAGTCATAAAGGTTCTGGATTCCTAGTTTCCAAATGAAGTTAAAAAAAAAAGTGAGGGATGCTTCCCTTCTATCTCATTTTCACTATTCAGTAAATATCATAAGACCTGTGTCTTCTCCTAAGCATGCAGATTATTGATGTGATAAAAACAAATACATAGACGGAGGGCATGTCACATCACAGGGGGCCCTAAAATTATAACCCTTCTTTAATGACTGTTCAAAGTTATAATAGCACTGAAAAAGGTGACTTACAACCAGTGCTTACCCTTACGACTGCTGCAGCATCGCAATCGCCACATGATTCAGGTGCCTGGCATCTGGCATGTATTTACAACAGCTGCAGTGTCCTGGGGTCAGATGATCATTATTTACAGCTGTCCCAACCGATTTCCAATAAGCAAAATCAATGGGTAAAGCCAGATTCACCTAAAACTGCATGATTCACTTAATAATGGTAGCAATAAAGGTCATGATATCAGGCACAACATACTTAACAACTGCCTTGCTTAGAAATGAATATTCCTCTCCCAACTGTTGTTGTAAGTCAAGGACTATCTGTAGAGAATAGGATTTTGTTTTGAGCAACTATTGAATTATTTTTTTTTTAAAGGTATAATGCACTCTTATGTATGTATACAAAGATAGAAGCCCCACTGAATTCAACCAAGATTTACCCCGAGCATGTTCCATAGCAAGAATGGAGGATATTTTAAAGTCCTATTTCCTGCTTTGGGTGGAAGAGGGAGGGATTTCTCAGGCAAAAGTGGGCAATAATTAGTTCTAGAACTAACGCCTAATGAAGCGTCTACAACATCAGAATCCAGAACTGTCAAGATTGACAATGCATCAGTTGAAAATATTTTAAGCTTTGACAAGGAGCTCAGCCTCAGTAAGGAATTCTGTGATTTACTATTCAATAACGCCAGGAGGGTCACAGGTTTCCCACCCCTATTCTCAGGGACATATATTAG